AATTCAAGGGCGCGCTTCTTTTACTTTCATTTCATGACATATAAGTCAAAATTCTAAAGGGGGATGTTTTGTGCGATAGATCTACATAATACATGACAGTGAGAGCTGTCTGTCATTTTAATTGGCAGGTAAATTGTATTTTCTGTCATAGTTGGATGTCGTCTGACGATATTCTTCCCTGGCTCGGTAGACAGACGGCCAGACTTTACTTTAAAGGGAAAATTAAAGGCAGTCGAAAAAGTGTTAAGTATACCCTTGCGAGCAGTACTCAGATTTCTACTGCATTCGTTCCAAATGACATCAGAAATGCTGAAATCTTTGAGTATTTCATTAGTTACTTCACACCTTCGTTTTGTTTGATATTTCCAAACCAACTTACCCGTTGCATATACATTTAGCATGAGCTAAAGTCTATTCCAAGAGTCAGGGAAGATTTCGGCAGATGACATTCAAAAAATGACAGAAAATACAATTTATTTGTAAATTAAAGTGACAGGCACAACTGCCACTGGCATGAACCGTTGGACAGATCTACATTCATAAAGCGAAGGTAATCATATCGAAATAAAGACATCTGGCGTAAATTCGCTTTGTTTTTTTGTGGTTAGGTATAATGGTGCAAGTACACACTCGGCGGAGGTAACCCGAGGCCGAGACGAGGCTGGTATGTATTTGGGGCTCTCGCGTCGTCTCGGATCCTCTCGCCTCGCACTCTGAACGTTTTATACCAAATACACACTCGCCGAGGGGACCCAAGGCGAGCGTGTACTTGGGGCTCTCGTCTTGCCTCGGAGCCTCTCGCCTCGTCTTGGGAGCGCTCGGTCTAGAGGCGGTCTCCAGCACGAGTCAAAGGAGACGAGAGCTATAGAGAAACTAAATAAAAGAGAGACACAAATAGATTTTATATTTCTCTATGGCGAAAGCGTTAAGTAGGAGGCCCTGCAAAAATATATACGGTGCTCTCGGCAGATCGGCACTCCTTAGTTCATCTTCTCAACAGCCTTTGAGTTGACGCCTAGTTTTGTTATTTTAATTATTAAAATATAAATTAATACAGTGGATAAACGATTTTAGTCAAAGTACCGAAAAATCTGTTAAGAAAACTGTAGAAAAAAAAGATTATTTAATGGTCACTTTCTGGGCCGTTTAAGAAAGAAAAACACGTCTATTAAAAGCTATGCACGATGTTTTCATTCAGTTTGATGAGAAGTCTTCAAATTCAAATATATGACTGCCAGCCTAATATAAACATTTGTTAGTTTCTATAAGTATCTACATTTATTTTAATAATTGAGAAGCGATCAAAAACATGTCGTTATTGATATAAACGTGTCGTTATTGCGTCTTTTAAAAAAAGAAAATTATAATGTACATGAAAGATATTATGATACAGACTTTCTAGACACTGTTTTCGCTTTTTTGCCATCATTATCATAAGAATTATTACTCTAATTACAAAATTATTGATTAATCTCTTTTATCCTCAGTTAAAAATAAAGATTTATTTTTTATAATGTAAAATAATGTTTTAATATTATTAGGTAAAATAGCAAATATTTTACGTTTTTATGCAGCATTATGTTTTTTTTTTATTTTAATACACCTCACCTCGGCAACATAAGTGGAAAACACAGTTTGTTTCGATCCTTGGTAGTTACGTCATCATTTTCGACGTTATATTGGTTTTCATGATTTTTTTCATGACAAACTCGGACAATAGAATGATAATCTGTGACGTAACAGCCAAAAAACAAAGCGTAGATGAGTGTGCTTCTATAAAATACCAAAAATAGAATGAAAACAAAAATAATCACAGGCGGATAATTTGATTTTGTGGATCTCACTGTTTTTTTTTATTTTCTCGACTTTCAGGTCAGTTTTAAATTAGATTTAAGAAAAATTTTCGCCCAAATTTTCCAAAAAGTGTTATTAAATTTATCTCGTTGAGCGCCTGATTGTTTTGATTTTTACAAAATTATTGTTGAGAATGTATTTAGGTATATATGTACTGCAAAATTTTATTGGTGTGTTTTTGTGCAATGTCTCGGGGCGCCTTGCTGGATCTCGCATTTTTTGTGGCGCCTCGGGTCCCCTCGGCGAGTGTGTACTTCCAGCATAATTGTTTTGTTATCGTTGTAAAAAGTGCTATGCGATATTTTCCATACGGAGGACATTTTCTGTGAAAAATTAAGGTAAACTAGGCACTCGCAAGAATATCTCTGAAACTGTCAAAATATATTTACTCATATCCTAGAGGTATGTAAAGTGATCTGAAAAGAAGCCAAAAATGCAATAACATACAGTGTGTTCCATTAAAAAAAACATCCCGATCCACTCATACTTTTTTGAGCCATTCTATAGAAGTTAAAATATTTTCCTGAAATGCATCCTCGTACATACTTTCAGTTTGCACTTAAACAAAATTCTCAAGTTTTTTATCCTAGGAGCTACGACGCGCGACGTACTATTCCCGGACCCCGTATAAATAAAGAAAACAAAGTCGGGTTAGTTACACCACTTATAACTAGGAACCGCTGGATCGATTTTAATAACCCCGTATGATTTGTTGAATTCATCTGCAGAACAACTACATATTAATACAGGGTGTCCCAGAAATAAGTTCAAGTATTTTAACTGGTAGTATATACATTTCAACCACAGAAACACGCCTATGAGGCTTTTTTTGCGAAAAAAAAATTGGGAGTTTTTTAGTTTTTAGTTAAAAAACATGATTTCTTGATAATATGGCAACATAGGTATTAGATTAAATTTACAAGAAAGAAAATCCAGAAAAGATTATTTTAGCAAAAAAACTTTTTTTTGGAAATTTTCAAAGTAAAATAACTAGCGATGGGAACTATCGAATGAATTAGAGTATCGAATGGTTACTGAATGAATGATTTCAACTATCGAATTGTTTTATTCGAATAAAATCATTCATTCATTTGTATACTAAAGCATATGTGACAACCTCGCCGTGCGACTAAATGGTTATCGTTGAGCCACGACTATCGAATGCTTTTGATAAATGAAATAGTATTCGTTTGATTTTTGTGTGCGTCAGTGCATTATTAGTTCTTACAAATTTTTATAACTTCACCTTATAAATACTGTGCTATTTTTGCGTTTATTAAAATATTTAAAATACTAAAATAGTAGTTTTTTTTAATTGACGATTGTGTGCGTGTGCAGGTGTCAAAATTTTTCCGAAAATTTGTGTGATTTTCCGTAGCCCGATCTTTCAATTATTTTATTTTATATGGTATATATGGTCTATTTTTTAATGGGAAATTTTGAGAAGTAGCAATTTTTAACAGAGATGAGATGAACTTAGAATTAATTTTAAAAATACATATTTGTATAGATGTTTTAATAATACGAATTAGTTGAACTTAATAACATATTTAAGTAATGTGGTTAAGTAAATGGTTCTCGAACTCAAACTATGGGGTGAGAAAATTAAATTGGAAGTTTTACACGTGCCAATTTAAAAAAAAAGTTAACAATGTTTGTTTTTTGTTTATGCTAATTCTCTTACATGTAGTTTTTTGCGAAGAAATATTTCATTTATTTTTTAAAGTAAATGCCAGTAAAAGTAAATATTATTTTTAAATAGTAATATAAAGTACCTAATATAAATAATTTTGATTTCTAATTTTTATTTATATATTTTCCTTCCATTACACTGCATGCTTAGAAAATTAATAAATGTTTATATTCATGATTTTAAAGTTTGTTGTTAATATAACAAATTAGTTCTGTAATGATTATTATTTAATAAACCAACGTTGCCACAAAAAATTTAAAGACCAATTATTTTTAAATAGGATCTAATATAAATAATTTTGACATCTAATTTGTTGTTTATATTTTGCTACTACGTAAAAAAATGTTTATATTAAATTATTTTAAATTTTGTTGTTAGAGGTATAACAAATTATTACTGTTATTATTATTTTTATTAAACCAGTCTTTGCTTAAAAACATTAAAAATTATTTTCCTACATCCAAAATATTTTATTATCTAACATAACCTAACCTAACAACAGAATATTAATAAAAAAAATGCAAAATATTTATACATACTATCGCTAACTAACTAAAGCCAAACAATAATATTCTTTGCTAATATCAACTAATACCAATATATGGCAACAGCGCCCTTCATAATGTATTTTCTGTGTAAATACTACCACCTCAATAAAAAAACTAATATGTCCTTATCTTTATATGACTCCGCAAAAAATCAAAGATGCCGGCTTCTTTCATAGCATTGCCACCGACCGCTGTCGGGTGAACCCGAAAGAAAGAAACCTACGTCGCCGGGCGACAACTAAAATCCAGTTAATATTTTATTATAATCGATCCTGACGAATAAATGAATTTGATAAATGAATGAATTTTATAAATGAATGGTTTTTGCTGCCGAATTACTAGAATACAATATTTCAAGGCAGATGACGCATCTATTCGATAATTTTTATTCGAATAGTTTTCAACGAATGTTTTTTTACTAGCTATCGAATAATTCGAATGAATTGCAACTATCGAATGTTTCGATAGTATTCATTCGACAGTTCCCACTACTAAAAATAACTCCGTTATTTTGGAATTATTTGAAAAACGATAAAGAGAAAATATGTTCTTTTTTATCGAGATCTACCAGCCCTTAAAATACTTGCACTTATTTCTGGGACACCCTGTATATAGGAAAAATTCATGTAACAATAATATTCAGAAAACTAATTTATAAACAAATTAAATTTATAATTATTTGTAATAGTTGATGTCCACTGCAAATCAGTGACATACTAGACATTATAAAACAGAAATTCCAGGGAAAATATTGGGCTAAAATAGTACATATATTCAAATTTAGAGAGATATTGAAATATGGAAATAGAAAATACTTGAATCTGAATATATATCAAAAACAATAAAAACATATATAACAAATAACTACAACTGTCAAATCGATTGGTTTCAATCATTCAATTTACCTGGAATCAATATGTTTATGATTATAGTGGTATATTATGCTGCTTCTTGACATACATTTGTAGTCACAGTGCACACAAGTAATCATCCGTCGTTCTTCCGGTGCCAAGTGAACTTGCTCATGTTCTTTAAGTCTTGACATATTACTTGATTGGAAGCTACATGTGGAACAGCTATATAACTTTTTCTGCGAGTTCTTCAGTTCCTTCGCTCTAATAAAATAATTTTTAAATATTGCAGTCTTCTATAACAGCCTATAATGTTCAGTATTGTTTTTGCTGGGTGATACACAGAGTATCCCAGGCTGAGCGTGCATTAGAAGTTTCTAGAGAACTACAACATCTAGCTCGGAGATTTTTTGCACATCATAATTTCATAACGAGATCTATCGATTAAACACATTTTCAAAATGGCGGCACTTCCGGAAATACCGGAAGTGGACAGCAACTTTCTTATTTTAAATGGGTGCCCCCATTTTTTATTACAACTTAAATTCTCTGTAAAATTTTATGAATTTTGATAAAAACACTCTATATATAACATTAACCGTTTTTGAGAAAAAAAAATATTAAAATTTTTGAACGAAAAAAACGGCACGGCCTGTCAAAAATATGTATATAGCCTAAACGTCAAATTTAGTGATTACCACAGCCACTGTGCCATACAGAGAAAACATGTAGCTATTTATTTCAAAAAATAAATTGTTGGAAAGTTATATAATATTGGCCACAGCTGTCATAGAATTGAGCAATTAAAAAATTATCATAAATCATTTTTTTCAAATGAACAACCACTTTTTTTTATTTCACTAGTAAAAAGGCATTCAATTCGTTACTTTTTGACTATACATGTTCCTATACCTAAAATAAATCTTTTTAAGTTATTTAAGATTTAGTTTTAAAGCGTATATTTTTCTTGATTTTAACCAGCAGCCTGACTTTAAACGTCAAGTGATGTAAAACTATATTTCTGGCCATGTCATATTATGACGCTTTGTTTAAAAAACAGCATCATTTCCGAGTCAACTTTGGGCTGTTTTTTTTTTCGATCATATGGAATATTATTGATAATATCAACTATTATGATGCGTTCAGGCTTGAGCACGCACGAGCTGAACGTGCGTGCACGGCATTCGTTCGCGCTCTCGGCTCCGTTCAAATTAAAAACTTATTTTTCGACGAATGAAGTGATCCATATGTGCGCGCACAGCAGAGTTGTGTTGGCGAAAATAATGGACGACCAAGAAATAGTCGAGGCTGAAGTCATTGTTATGCACAGCTTAATTATTAAAAAGAAGAAAAATCGAAAACATCGTCGCTGGTGGCAAACCCAAATTTTTAGAAATCGATATAATTTACTGCAACAACTTAGTGTCTGAGGAGGGCTATGATCAGTTCAAAAACTTTACAAGAATGACCAGACCCGACTTTGAATATTTACAAAATTTAATAACACCAAAAATTACGAACAAAAGATACAAATTTTAGAATAGCAATTTCATTAATATCGACATATTCAATATTAATTTTATTTACAAGGTTTTGCCATGCGTTATATTTTTTTGATTTTTAATAATACAAAGAATGTTTAAAATCCCATAATATAGGCAACTTTTCATATTTTTCAATTAATAATAACGAAGATTCATTGATCCACTCCATAATTTTAATAAAGAAAACGAAAAAAAATCACACACGCACGCACGAACGCAGACAAAACAAATTGCCGGTCCAAATTGAGCGTTCGCGCATACATAAAATCCCTTTGAGCACGGACCAAAAACCATATACGTATTACTTTTTACAAATATACTCAGCCTAATCTCCAAAAAGTGAAGCCCAAACAGTGAAAGAACAATATGGAATTCTGCATAAGTCTATTTCACCCGGATATTCATTTAACTGAGCATGCCTCACCTGAAGAAGTTTTCATTGGTCGATGTTTTTAAAGGGAAGTGGTTGACTGACATTTCCCCTAACCTTCAATTTGATTTATATTTTTATTATTTATAACACATTATCATGGAGTTGGAAAAATATAAAAAAATAGTTGGAAACAATAAACTAAACAAAATCACTCTTTTACGCGCACAAATAAAAGTAATCCAAACAGAACTAAAACAACAATCAATCGGAGTTTGGCGCAATCGCAGTTCAATCCATATCCAGGTGAAATAGACTTATGCAGTTTTAATATGGAGCTGGGTTATGTTGTCTTTTTCTTACGGCACAGAAATTGCACACGGGGTTAAATAGGGAACCCTGAGTATATTTGTAAATAATACGTATATGCCAAAAACCGACACAAGACGGCTCACGTTCGCGGCTGCTCGCGCACTGACAGATTCAGAGTGAGCGTGCGCGCACAGCCGATTACACTTGAGCATTCGCGGAGGATCAGTGCGTGCGTGCTCAAGTCTAAACGCACCATTAGATATCACTAAAGAACGAAAATACAAGATATATTTTGATAAATACACTTTTTAAACTCTTAAGGGGCAGGCAGTATTTATAATATGGGAAATTCAAATAATTCGTTTTCTGACCGATGGACATAAATTGTCTGACCGTTTGACACTTAATGTCAAAGGAAGCTAGATAAAATCAAATTAAATTTTAAATAACTTAAAAACGATTTATTTTAGGTATAGGAAGATGTATAGTTAAAAGTAAAGAATTAAAAAACCTTTTCGTTAGGGAAATAAAAAATGTGGGTTTCCATTTGAAAAAAAAAATGATTTATGATAATTTTTTAATCGCTCAATTCCATGACAGCTACCACCATTATATTATGACAATTGAACAATTTAATTTTTGAAACAGACAGCCACATGATGTCTTCTCTTTATGCCACAGTGGCTGTGGTAATCACTAAATTTGACTTTTAGGCTATACAAATTTTTTTGACAGGTAGTTTTTTTTGTCCAAAAATTTTCTCAGAAACGGTTAATGTTAGATATAGAGTGTTTAACATCAATATTCATAGAATTTTGCAGAAAATTTAAGTATGTAATAAAAAATGGGGGCACCCAGTTAAAATAAGAAAGTTGCTGTCAATTTCCGGTATTTCCAGAAGTGCCGTCATATTGAAAATATTTTTAATCGATAGATCTCGTCGTAAAACAATGATGTGCAAAAAATCTCCGATCTAGATATCGTGGTTCTCTAGAAACTTCTAATGCACGCTAAGCCTGGGACACCCTGTATATGTATAATAAATTATTTCGACTAGGTTACGATATTTTAACATGGTAAAAAGATAAAACTATTTTTTTTTTCGAATACAAATACTACTTAAAAATGTTAAATGTCAGCAAAATTAGAGAAAAATAAATAAATACTTTATAGAAGAACAACTTAACTTGGTGTAATTGATATTATTATTAAACATTTTTTATTATTAATAATTAATTAATTTGTTGCTAAACATTTATTTTAATTTATTTTTTTTTGTTAATATTTATTTCAAATGTTCCACTAGCTGACGTATTCGCGCCAACTACTGTTATTGGTCCAAAGTTACAACCTGTTTAACCAACGTAAATTAAAATCAATAATTTTTAAATAATTAAAACCAAACCAAACCTTGGTCTTACCATTTCGTCTGTCGTTCTTTTTAGGTTTATTTCAAAAATGACAAATAATTAAATCTTATTGGAGTGACGGAACGAGACCAGTCAGGGTGCATCCACATTATCCTAGAAAAAGCGGAACAGCGTATCGGCGTAACGACCTTGAATCGATTTCCAGCAATTCTATTGATTGACATTTTTCGAAAATTCATCTGTCAAAAATTTCAGCCAATAGAATTGCTGGAACTCGATTCAAGGACATTACACCGATACGGCGTTCCGCTTTTTCTAGGATGATGTGGATGCACCCTCATGGACGCAGAGGCGTATGAACTTAAGCTTCATTCAGAATCTCGCAATTAGTGGAATAAATTAGTGGTTTCAATTACACTTTATACTTTTTAGTTTACGATCATTCACAATGTCTAAAAATCACAATTAAAATTAATAAAATATCCTAGCAACAGCTTGCGGTAGTCTATTGTATTCACAGAGAAAGCATTCTATTTAGATTATAAAACAATATACTTTATGTACGTGTGAGTATGCACCGTATGGAGGTAGAAGAACAGGCAGGGTTCCGTACGGGACGATCGTGTATGGACCATATATTCACTCTGGTCCATATAAATGAAAAAAAGTGGCAACCAATAGAGATGTACATCTGCTCTTTGTTGACCTCACAAAAGCGTATGACACCGTTCCGATCCAAAAGCTCTGGAAAGTCCTCGAAAAATCCTCTATAAATAACACAGCGATAGAAGCAGTTAAACAGCTATATAATGAGGCAACATCAACAATAAAACTTGGTACGGCGCTATCTGTAGGTTTTCCTGTAACTAAGGGCCTACGACAAAATTGCTGCCTATCCCCGATGTTATTTAAGATCTATCTGAATGAAACCCTAGAAAAATGGAGAAGATCGTGCAGAGCAATGGGAATACCACTTAACGACGAAACAACTCTATACAACCTTCATTTTGCAGATGATCAAGTGGTAGTGGCTCAAGATAAGGAAAACCTACAATTTATGACAACAAGACTTTTAAGCGAGTATGAAAAGTGGGGGTTGTCGGTAAATACGTCGAAGACTAAGTACTTATGTATAGGCCAAGCAGCAGAAACTTTACATATGGATGGAAATATAGAGATAGGCTCATGCAGTAAATACACCTACCTTGGAACTCAGATAGATTATACCGGGCGAACAGAGAACGAGATCGAGGAAAGAATACTGAAAGGCAAAAAAGTCATCGGGTGCCTAAACTCAGTATTATGGTCCAAACACATCTCATATGAGAAAAAATACACTATTTATAATTCCATCTTTAAAAGTATAGTTTTATATGGATGTGAAACATGGCAGCTTACTAGTAGAATGGAACAAAGACTATTAGCACTCGAGATGGACTTCTGGCGAAGATCTGCGGGAATATCAAGAATGGAAAGAGTAGCGAATATAAAGATAAGGGAAATTATGCATGTCCAGCAAACCATAATAAATGAAATAGAGAAAAGACAGCTGGTATGGTATGGGCATGTAGAAAGAATGAGTGAGGACCGAATACCGAAGAAAGTTCTGAAATGGATACCATCAGAAAGGAGAAAAAAGGGAAGGCCGAAAGCAACATGGATCGGAGA